GCTGTGGCTGACAGGGGTCACATGGACAGCTCTCCCCTCACCCCAGTCCTCTGGCTATTTCTCCACAAGGCTTGTCTTTTGTGTGGGTTGAAGTCAAGGGTTAGACCTAGACGACTCCCTGTGACTTTTCCACTGTTTTGAAGAGTAGAAAGGAAAGGACTTTTCCAAGGGAGGCGTGCTCTGGTTATGCGCTGTGAGTCATAGACTGGAAACTGGGAGGTCTGGGTTCCTGTCCCCTCTCTGCCACTAATGGCGTGAGCACACCTGTGATGATAACCAGTATATTTATCAGGCTGGGCAGCCCCCAAGGCTGTGCCCATAGAATACAGGAGGAGCCAAAGGGTCCAGCAGCTGGGCTGAGGTCTCACAGCCGCTAGAGGGTCCTGAGAGAAACCCAGGTGTGGCTGACTCCAGAATCTGCCTCTTCCTTGGCAGATCTGCTTCCTGGGGCCTAGGTTCCTCCTCTGCCAAAGGAGAGGTCTCCCAGCTGTCAGAGGCTATGAGCCTGTGTTTAATTCTTTTTGGGAGATGAAGAGAAGCCCCTAATTACTCGAGAGGACAGAGCACGGATCGTGCTAAGTCCCAGTGAAGCCCTTCCTCCAGACCCTGCTTGCTTGGCCGGGGAGATAGACTGCTGTCTAATGGCCTGCAGGCAAGTGCAGGCTCTGTCCTGGGTGGGTGAGGTCACTTGGGACCTCCTAAAGGTGTATCCATCAGGGCAGAGGTCAGGAAGGCAGCAACTGGTCATGCACAGCATCTGCTCTCTGCCCAGGACCTTCAGGAAGGGCAGGTGGGAGGGAAGATACAACTGGAAGAAGCTGAGAGGCAGCGGGGGTAGGGAGAGAATGGGGTGGGTTATAACCCCTGTGAAAATTCCAGAGCATCCTGCCATAGTTAGCCGGTTGTATATGAGGGTTTCCTCTGTGTTGGTCTGGTTTTGTAGCATTCCTGACCGTTGACTTCTGTCTGGTCTCAGGCTCTCAGAATTAACATGACTTCCACATGTTCCTCTAGGCTCACCCCCTAAACAAAGGGTGGACATACTCTTCAGATGATCTAGAGCTTTACTTAAAAAGATGTCATTCAGCCCCGCCAGCGTGGCTCAGCAGTTGAGCATCGACCTATGATCCAGGAGATTGAGGTTTGATTCTCGGTCAGGGCACATGCCCTGGTTGTGGCCTCAATCTCCAGTCAGGGGCGTGCAGGAGGCAGTTGATCAGTGACTCTCTCATCATTAATATTTCTCTCTCTCTCTCTCCCTCTCCCTTCCTCTCTCTGAAATCAATGGACATATTAAAAAATAAATGACTAAATAAATAAAAAGATGTCATTCAGTTTCTGATCAAATAGTTTGATTTAAATATCTACATTCCTAAATCTACCCATAGGGAGATAGTCCAGTGTGGTTAAAAGTATGGGAATTGGACTCAGCTAGACCTGGGTTCAAATCCTTTGCTCTGTATTTTGCTATGTGTGTGACTTTGGGCAAGTTACTTAGCTTCTCTGAACCATGGCTTCCTCCTGTACAAAATGGGGATATCAGTGGCAGCTACCTCATTGAGCTGAAGATTAAATGCACTGATGCATATGAATGTTTTACACTGTGCTGAATGTAGTAACTAGTACCTAAATGGTCTCTCCATTTTATGTTTATGTTTATGTTTATGTTTATGTTTATGTTTATGTTTATGTTTATGTTTATGTTTATGTTTATGTTTATGTTATATGTTTATGGGATAGAAAGCACGGCATATCCCTATCTATTTATTATAATAAAGGTCAATAATTTATTTTTGGCTTGTGAGGATAGGGATGGCCTTTTATTGTATGTTCTTTCTTATCAGCATCACATAAAACATGCCATAAATACCCTATCTCAGGCTGGCATCACTCAGCTCTATTTGCTTTGCTTTGCAGCCCTCTCCTTGGGTGCATTTGAGAATAAACACTCCACCCTGCATGAGGCTAACTCTGTGACTTAGAGATCAGAGGGGAGAAGGGCCTGGATTCAGAGCTCACTTCCTTGGCTGTTAACTGAACAGCCAAACAGAAAACCTCACAGTCCTGTGTGCAAAACCCCTGCTATGGACTGAATGTTCATGTCCCTCCCCAAATTCACACTTTGAAGCCTTAATCCCCAGTGTGATGGTATTGAGCTGGGGCCTGTGGGAGGTGATTAGGTTTAGATGAGATCATGAATGTGGAGCCTCAATACTGGGATTAGTGCCCTTATTAGAAGAGGAAGAGACTAAAGGCCCCTCTGTCTACCATGTGAGGGCACAGCAAGAAGGCGACCATCTGCAAGCCAGAAGGTGGGTCCTCACCAAGAACCTTGATCTTGGACTTCCAGCATCCATAACGGGGAGAATAAATATTTGTAGGTTAGGCCAGCTAGTAGATGGTATTTTGTTATAGCAGCCCAAGCAGACTAAGACGGCCCTGCTTCATGGCGAAGTCAGCTACCCTGGTGCCAGGGTGTCTAAATGCTCCTTCCTTCTTCCCCCAGCTTCTCTGCCCACTTTGCTTTCCTCATTGGTGGAATCCCCCCAGACCGCTGAATCAGAATTGCTAGACAGAGGCCTAGAAATTGGATTTCTCATTAAGCTCCCAGTGATTCTCATTCAGTAGAACGGCCCCGAGGCTGTGTGAGGGGACCCCTTGCTCTAACTGAGGCCTCTCCCAGGAGGGTGTGCCTTTGGTATGGGTTCGGGTAAAAGGGACAAAAATGGAGGGAGCAGCAGGCCAAATTCAGTAGGCCTGGGACTTTTCTCTCCTTCTCCGGACAGCAGTCCTGCCCACCTCTTGGGCAAGGTAGCCTTCCAGAGCCACCTGAGGCAGCAGCCTTGGAGAGCCTGACCGAGCTTGGGAACTGAGGTGACATTGGAAATGGAGTCCTGAAATGCCTTCATTTCCGAAAAGTTTACCAATCCTCCATGCGCCAACATCTTTCCTGCAAATCTGTGTGTTATCCAGAGGGTCAGCTTGGTTGTTCAACAGAGCAGGATGTTTTCTGAGCACCTGCTCTGTGCCAGGCATTGAGCTAAGACTTGGGGATAGAGGTGAATTGCAGGTCTCTGAAATGCTGTGGTCTCCTGAGAGGTTTTCTGAGCAAGGCCTGAGAATCAACTGCGGCAGAACACCCTGGAGTGGTTTGTTAAAACTATAGATGCCCAATTATAAAACATGTACCACTGTGGTTGGGTGTTGATCATGGGAGAGGCTGTGCCT